GATTATTACTTTATATAAACTTTTAAATTTTCTTAAATACCAATATTTATACTTATAAAAAATTTCTCATTACCTCATAAATTTCAAAATTTTCATAAATACTTATATTTAAATTTATAAAGTTCATAATTCTTAATTTATTATTTATAGAACTTTCACCCAAATTTTTTAGCAATTAAATATCTTTAATTTCGTGTAAAAAATATTTCACAACTAAAATCATATAACTAATATTAAACTTTCATCTATTTTTTCTCAATTTATACTATTTTTAAATACTTTTTCTCAATCTTTTTTCTCTACTCTTTTTTATCTTTCATAATATCTTATATATAAAATGCGTGTACTTTTTAACGTAATAATATGCATAAATTACACTCGTGACATTCGAAATAGACAACTTTGTTCAACATGGTTTAATTCATCCGTCTATTAACAATCATTCACACTGATTTAACTAATAAAGCCTCTATAATTAACTATAACGAAAAACGCTAATCAACTTCTAAAAAATTATCAAGTCAAGTCGAGAAAGGATTAATGAAATGAACAATCCCGAAACTTGCTGCAAGTCTTCGCTGTCTGCTTTCACCATGGGAACTGCGGTTAGATCACTGGAAAAACACCAGCCAAGGATAAAATCACAGCATAGATTTGTAGCTACATATCAGCATCACATCTATTTGTTCATCGCCTCTATTAGTAAAACCCATGATTGAAAACGACATAATTAACTTAATCCAATGACAGGGAACACAGGTGAAATAATGATAGAATGAACCGTATAAATTTCACAACATAATGGATTATAACAAAACTCATTTTCCTTACAAGTGTTACTCAGTACGCAATCCCTCTTGGTGACAAAATTTGTTTGTGATTTGACCGTATATAAGAGATGCAGCACCGAACAGACTCACCCCTCGTTTACTATCTTCCACGTCAGAAGCACATGTAGGTCAAACCTGCTGAAAAAATATATATATATATAACTTTAAGTAACACCGTGCTGTGGATTCCAATTGCAAATTGGACATGTAATCATCGTTACGCTATTTGGCATTGGTATGGGCCGCGCCGACACACCAGATAAGCTTCGTCCTTGCATTTTGTTCTTATGTCTTCCATACTCGAATGGTGCCATCCACAGCAGCAGTAACCATGCAGTTTCCCTTCGGGTGATAACTAACACTTTGTTACCTGACAGAAAACCCATATGCATTTATATCATTTTCACATCCTTCCAAAAATTGTTATTTAGAAGCAAATTATGCACAAATTGCATCTCTAAAAGTAGAACAATAATTACATTATAAAACCCAAAATGCCATCAGTCCAAGCTGCAATACGCAGACTATTTTGGAACAAAATGAAGCATTAAATCCCATAGGTTAAGGTAGTGATGACGTTATCATCAGACATTAAGTTAACAACAATAAAATGTGACGTAAGGAATATTAATTAAAGCAACAAAATTCCTGTAAAATTACCAAACTATTTGGACCAAGTGTTTTTGTGATAACAATTTTCAAACTGGGCTGTCAATACAATGCCAAAAAAGAGTTCCCCACTCAAACCTCAACCACACCATGAGAAATCATACATGGTATAAATGAACGAGCAAAACCATACGGGGTATCATGCCAATACCAAGAGGAACAACTTTTTCCTTTGTTGAGGAAGAATTGAAAATTTGAAGAAGCCATAATCATGATTCATGTCAAATTATTTTAGTGAAAGAAAGGTCTAAATGTCCTTTTAGTGTCATACTTGCACAACTTTTTTTCAGAAAGAATGAACAAGTAAAAGATATTTACCACTGACGTATGAGCCCTGAATCCTGAAACAACAGATGATTCTGCAAGATCCCAGAAATAAATAAAGCCATCCTCAGAGCCACCACCCACCAGTTACACGAGCATCCGTATTGGTAAGGCAGGAATCCAATTTGTAAGACTGAGAAAAGTTCAATATAAATGATCAAAATTTCATAAAAATGAATAGTATTTGTAACATAGCCAGGGAACATTTAGAAGAGTTTATGAAAATAACATGTAACTCTCATAAGCTCATTTTAGTTTATGTATTTCAATAAGATTATTTATATAATTTATCAGAATAAGTACTTTCAGCTTGTTACAAGAAGACTTATAGGACAAGCCCTCGTATAAAAAGAACTTATTAAATAAAAGCTTCGTGTTCCCAAGCACACCCTAGAGTTACTTCAAACACAAAAAACATGCTTTAGGAATGAATAATTGCAGAAATCAGTAAATAGTAATCCCGAAATGCAAATATATAAATGAAAGTGAATTTCAGCTTGTATCCCACAATTTCTAGCGAGCATGCACCTGGTATCTTCCACTATAAGTAAATAATGCTATACGCGGAACATCAGAAAGTGCTAAAACCAGATTTATGCATCTGCAAACTAACCTTATTAGTGTGTCCTTTATATTCTTGTAGTAGTTCACCTGTGGATCTGACACAAGAAAGGATGGTGAAGCTCAAAGGGATATAGACCCACAGTATACTTTCCCAAAATGTTCCATAACATACCTGTCAAAGAGGCGCAAAGTAGAGTCTAAGCAACCGGCTAGAATGCAGTTACCATCATTTAACATTGATACACAGTTGACAGGTTGCCCTGAGTTATCGGATATTTCTCTGGTGAACAGAAAAGAGAACATTAGTAGAATTTCATAATGCAAATAAATTTCAGGGCAACAATAAATTGTCCAACAGTAGGATATCTCTTTCATTTTGAAATATCACCCGAAACATTTGTTGATTATTATAAACATAAATTCATGAATTACAAAAGAATAAAAAATGATCATCAAAATTTTCCAAATAAGTTGCATAAAACCTGCCAATACGAATGTCAAATGTTCGAGCAGTTTCATCAACACTTCCTCCGATAATTTCAGTTTTTGTTAAACAGACAGACATCACACTATCTGCAAATGTATCACTAATCTGCACGTCAATTGCAACTTTTGATTAATAACCCAGTAGAAAGAAATTGAGTGCATGGCGCGTAATAAATAATTGTTAGAGAAAAAAAAAAGTGTGTGTGTGTGGTGGGGGGGGTGAGTAGATGAAATGCACCTGAATTGGCTCAGTGCTGTGGGATCTGCAGTCCCAAGCACGCAACCATTGATCATATCCGGCTGTAACTTCAACAGATGAATACTCATTGAACTTTACACCGTTTACCTGCAAAAGAAATCATCAATATCACCATCCAAAGAGAAAATGACTTAAAAATGAATACGTTATAATGCAAAGAAAGGATAACTCACCTCACCATCATGGCCACGAAATTTTCTAATTACACGTGCAGTTGCAACATCCCAATAAAATATCTGTCGATCTCCACCGCACGAACACAACTTGGAAGTTGTCACTATAATAACATGCTAAATAACGCATTATGGCACTTAAGAGTTCATCATCACAGTTCATAACCACAATTGAAGTAAGAAATTCTACAATCTAAGGCATGTTTGCTGCATTCTGAATATGCATAAATTTAATGATTCACTAAGTAATCGAATGACATTACGAGTATAGAGATATGATGAATGAATGTAGTGATGAGAGAGAGTACGGCGTGACGTGGACATCGCGAAGCTTGTGGCCATGGGATTTATAGGTCTCGATGTTGATTCCACGGTGGGGATTCCAGAGGCGTATGGTACGGTCTTTGCCGCAACTGAGAAAATAATTGCCGTCGGAGTTTAACCTCGCCGCCAACACCGCATCCTCGTGACCCTCAAGCACGTTTGCCTCCTTCCGCGGAAGATTTTCCATGCTCATCTCTTTTTCTTCACTGCAAAGGGAGCCAAACCCTCCCTCCACCACCATGCATTCTTCACTCTTACTCTCTCCACCACCATGCATTTTTCGCTCTTCCTCCTAAAGTACATTTTTTTCCTTAAAGAAAATGTTAATACTCGCCCTAGTATGACAATTTTTTCTTAATTTAATATTTTAATATATAGATAATAATTAAACAAAAAAAGTTAACTACAAGCGAGAAAGTACTGTAGAAGTACTAAAAATTTAATCCAAGCAAGCAAGCGCCCGTTTTCACTCATTTGCTTGTAATTCGGCCATACATAATTTCTCACTATTTAGGCTTGGAATGGAGCCAACTACCATATTGAGTTTTTATTCAATCCCCCGCATTTTCTCAAATAAAAACGTAAATCCTATAAAAATTATATTTTAATTAATTAAATTACAAATAATAAAGATGAATACAAAAATTTAAGTACTCAATTAATAAAAAATAAAGATAAAAATAATTATCCAACAAATATAAAAATGAATATGCATAATTATTAAAAATACAAATATAAAAATAAGTACCATACACAATTTAATCATTATCATCCCTACAACCAACTCACTTCCTCAACAACTTCAAACGTGACCGTGGTATTTAAACATAAGATTAAATTATAATCACTTGCTAGGTAAAAGCTCCCTTATGATCCACAATAATGGTGATAGAACAAAAATTGAAAAGAAGAAGTTAAAAGTCGAAATTAAATCCGTAAAAAATTAAAGCTAACCTGAAACTTGAAATAAAGTTTAAAGAAAATCATTAACTTTATTACATTTATATTTTTTGCATAGCATTATAATTTTCAACAATGCTTTTTGATACGAAAACATTGGTACGAATTTAGACAAATACAAAGGTATCGTATTTTATTGGTTAAACAGGTAAATAATAATCTTGACAAGAAAAAGGGTAATTAAAAATATAGAAAATAGAGAATTAACAGAAATCATCGGAACCGCTTTCGTAAATTTTTTCATGAAAACTTTTTCCAATCATTTAGTATTATCGTATAATTTTTTGAGGAATAGGGTTCAAATTTGAGAACTTGGGAAGGGCGGAATCCAATGAAGCTTGCACGTATCACGTATCGAAGTTGAAATAGAAAGGTCAATGAGCCCTAAAACAAAAACGCAAAAAGAGGAATAGAAGATATTCTCCATTACACATAAACATGATGAAATAGCATGACAAGATTGTTAAAATACATTTGGCATGCGTAACGGAAACTGATTAGTAACTGATCATGAAGCTCGTCAACATCTGGACATTACAATTTCTGTAATCATACATCTAATACAATTCAAGAATCAAAATCTATAAACTAGAACTTAATTTATGAAAACTAAGACCACAAAATTATGCAGATTGTATATTTAGAACCCCGGAGGCCTGTATGAACTTCAAGCTTCCCCTTTAAACTTGGCTTCATATGACTGCGGTTGCTGCAAAACGAACAACTAGAAATATGCTCATCCAGAGAAAAAAAAATTGTTGTACAACATTAGGTGTTGTTAAAATCAAAAGGAAAAAAAAAATAGAAAGAGAAGGGAGAAAAGAGATATACAAGACACAATAGGATTTTGATAATGTCAATGTTTCCTGTTCAAAAATCTTTAAAAACAAGAAATAGAATAAAAACAAAGTGACATTTTAATAACTAGATATGAAAATAGAAAATAACAATAGAACATATTCTGAAATCAAATAACCCCTAATTTATTCCATATCACCTTTAATTTATTCTAATTATGTTTTCAAGTCCATAGACAAGAAAGAAAAAAAGAAAATGGCAGGGAACTCATGAATATTAAAATATTACCATGAAGACAGCTGAAATTGACCTGCGTGCAAACCATCTCATATGCATTGCACGTTGAGCAGCACTTGCTGCTTCCACAGTTTCAAACCGCAAATACACAAATCCTGCACTATGTCTGTATATACAACAATTAAGTAGTTGTAAGAGATTTAATTTAATTTTTAAAAAAGGAAAAGCAGCCGGTAAAATTTTTCATGATTATCGTAGTGTTAAACATGTATGAACTTACTTGTCAACAAAAATATGCTTCACCCGGCCATACTTAGAACACTCTTCCTCTACATCCTCTTTAATGTCCATATCAAAATCTGGTTCCGTCTGCATTGTAATACTTGTCATCAGTACATATATTTAAATGAAACATCAAATGGTGGAAGTATATAATCAGTTAACCACAGACCTCAGTGCTTGGATCAAACATATTCTTTAACAACAAACACTCGCTGGGGCTTCCAACTGGTTCTACCACCGGGGTAGGCATAACTTGTGCTGGTAGAACTGGTGCAGGTATAATACCTGAATTACCAATAGGCAAGCTAATAGCCTGCTGAGCAGGAACTGAGCCATTCACAATGGGCATACCTATACTGCAATATTGGAAAACTGTGAAGATAATGAACACATTTACAAAATATATGAGGAATAATGTTAACACGAACCTTGCAGGAATGTCAGCACCAGCTAGCCTCTGCATAAGCAATGCTCTTGAGTGAGCATTTAAAGTCTGCATAGGAAAGCATGATAGATAAGCAAGGTACTTGCTGTGAAGAAGACGGATTACTTTCACTATACCCAAAAAAAGGCAGGAACCAAAAAGCTTCCTAATCACCCTCAGGCCCATCCCCAATTAGAAAGAAATAGAGTTTCTGACAGTACACAAAGACAAGGAGAAAGCAGCAGAGATACAAGGTACAGAAATAAAAGGTATGATCTAAAACCAGATCAAGGAAAAAGGAATGCCAAACACCTGTTTCTAAGCTATGTCTAGAATTTACTTGTAAGTTATAACCTAAGATCCTCAAAGGCACTAAAACTTCAATGCACCTATCTATCAAATAGTAATTAATCTTGCCATCAATCCGTAAATATGTATACTTGTACATACTAAAGAAATAATAGCACATTAAACTTTCGGCCAATCATGCTTCTAGCAATCAGGATAAATCACATATCTATGATGCAGTATTTTTAGAGCTTTTGCCTAGAAGCTATTATTTCCAACTTCTAAAAGAAGGCACAAGAACAACGTTTTAAAAGTTCTTATTTTTTTCTTCCCAAAAAAAATAACAAACTTAGATGATTATAAATGTTTTAACCAAATCTTTTTATTGAAAAAACGCATTTTCCTTGAAGAACAAACAAAAAAGCCCCAAGTTAGTAAATTACAATATTTCATGAAAAGATATAGATTTAAAATTTTAAATGACAAGCCATTGTGTGAAAACCAATCTTTCAATATTTTATATAACAAGACACTTACCAATCCACCCTCATCATCATCCAAATCTGCAGATTTTGCAGTTGTATCTTGGCTTGCAACATGATCTGTTACACACGAAACCTGAATTTGATGAACAACATCAGTCACAAACAAAAGAACTAGCAAAGTTATCATCAACAGAATTGAAAACATACAAGTGAAAAACAAAATGACTAACACAAATATTTCTACCTTGATAGTCCTGCCAGCAATCTCCAATTTTCCATTTAAACTCTGGGCAGCCTTGGCATGTTCAAGATGGGCAAACTGTCCAAAGAGTGCAAATTACCAAGATAAATAACAATATCACCAAAAGCAATATTTTTCTCAAAGTCATGTATAAAGCATCAGACACGAACTTGAACAAACCCAAAACCCTTGCAGTGTCCTGTCTCCAAGTCAAGAGGCAGCTGAACAACCTCAACTGGACCAAATGGCTCAAATATCTAAAACAACAAAAAGAAATATAAAATATTACAAAATTGTCACAATAAGATTCAAAATGGTGACAGCATACCAACAAAATATATCTAGTTTAGAAAAAACTAATTGACTGGTTTTAAGAAGAAATTAATATTGTCAAACTATTGCCATTCAGTAAAATCAAGAGTATTCATATTCCTGATAAAGGTAGTAAATGCCAAAAAAAAAAAATATATTAGCCAAACATATGCATCCTCACCACAACAGCCAATAAGACAGCAAGAAAAACAATACCTCACGCAGCTGACTTTCAGTCATATTAAAGTGAAGATTCCCTACATACAACTTTCTGTCCACAGCTCCATAGGGCCCAGCTACACCGGCTGCTCCACCAGAAGCATTAGATTGAACAAGGTTCTTTTCAGCCTCAGAAGGTTTCACCATTACAGGTTGCCCAAGAAGAAGTTGGCCAGATAGAGCAATAGCCATTGGCACCGACATTGCATCATAAAATTCAATATACCTGCAGCCTCATCAAGAACACGCATCAAGTTTTCAGAACCACAAAAAACAAATAGTTGCAATCAAAATTTACAAAGCATACAACAAAGAGATCTAGGGAGAAAAAATCTCTAATGCAGACAGCTCAAGCTAAGTTTCAATTGATGTATCTGACTCTTAAAAGAAAATGTTAGCCAGTCATAATGAGAAATAAAGAAACTAAAGCATATATTAATAATTAAATTTACAATTCAATCAAGAGAGAATAAGACAAGATGATAATATAGAGAAAGGGAACCACTGAGAAAGGCAGAGGCAGGATTAGCAACTTTGACACACATCCTTGGCCTATATATGTACACGTGCAAATCAAATCCTAAGAAAGAAGCCAACTTAAAGCTGGTAGCTGGCCCAGTACAGTAACTCACTTGTCAGATAATTCTAAAAGCCAAAATAGAACAAAATCCATGAGCATCTCATCTAGCCACCTATAGCCATTCATCCCACACAAAATTAGAAAAAATGGGAAAAGACAGTAAAATTCCCTCCATATCCCAATTCATGAAGGGAGGAAAATAAACTGAAAGGGCCATCAGCATACAAATGAAATCCTCGTTGTATGACAAGCAGAGGAAGAAAATTGGGAATAGGACCAAACAAAAATCCAAGATTATGTCATCTACCTTGAGTGCGCAGCATGAATTGATTAAACATGAGTGCAAGGTATTCCCACCATCCCTCATCATTATCGCATTGCTAGTCCATTTAAAGATACAGTTAAACATGATTCTTGGAAGTTGATATCCTAATACCACAATAGCACATCCATATAAACAAAGAAATTATTTAACAATAAAGCACATACCCAACTCCCTTAGATCGTCTTGAGTTCCTATCCATGATCAGACGGACATCTCTCACCTGAAAAGAAGGAACGTTAAAATTGACATAGGAAGTATCACGCACACAGACAGATATAAGACATTCACCCTAAGCTTGCAAACCAAACAACAAATTTGTGGTATTGAAAATAGCATCATATGACCCTGAATTCACTCAACACACGCAGACAAAATGTTGAGATATAATAAAGTTGCTCTCCCACTTGAAACTGACGGCAGAGGATAATATCCTACAACAGCAACCAAATGTTCTGAATTAGAAGCATTCAGTATGCTTGTAAGAACTTGTACATTGATCCACTTTGGATAAACCTCTCAATAAGTACATATAGGAGTAAAAAAATCAATAAAAAACAAATCAAACTCATTTCACAAGTTAAAATCAAAGTATGTTTCTCTATTTTTTTTATAAATAATGTGAAGAAATAAGTTATTTTCAACTTTAAAAAAGTTGTATTCATTTTTTTATACTAAGTTTTTTCTCTTATAAGGACTTCTTTAAAAATTTATCCAAACTGAACCATTAAATATGATTGTTATCACTTTTCATAATTGAGAAGCAACAATATATAAAACATAAAATAAAATAATATTAATACTCTTAATTGCAATAGAATTCATTATAGTTCTCACGGAGGCATAAATTACATGGATCGGTAGACATTACAATTCCAAATCCATAAGTATGTCAAATTTAAAAACAACTGACCTTGCCAGCCTTTGAGAAGAACTCGTACACATCTCTCTCTGTTGCTTTTAAGGGCATCTGCAAGCACCGCAAAGCAAATAGAAAATTATCAGAAAAGGACACCAAATATCCAACATCTAGAATTTATAAATCTATATTATTAAAAAAATAATCAGGCCATCCAATCAACCTGGTAGGCAAAAACAGTTCTCTGATCCCTTTCTGGGTCTGCCTCAGGTTCCACAGCCTCTTTCTTATCCCTAAATCTCCTGCGACTCAAATTAAAATTAAGTTGTGAGATTATAATCCAAAGTATATTTTGTTAACATAAAAGTCCTCCAAAACATCACTTAATATCATTATAATATTATGCATATATCCCAGGGTTATGGTTTTATCGTCCTTTAAATTAATAAAGCCAAAAATTGGAGTCAGGATCCCATCATATAACACCAACCTAGCTTTCCAACCCATTAGAAAAAAATTAACGAGAAAATATTACCAATACCTCGAACTAAATACAATAAATTAATGAAACAATACCTCCATCATGAATCCTGCTCAATCTTAGAATCAGAGTAGTCAAAGGAATGCCTAAGGCCCCAAGGCATGGTATCAGAAGGGATCACCACCTCCTGGCACCTTAGGAGTGCCTTTCTGGTTCAAAAGAGACATACACCCACTTATGTCTTATTCATAAATCATAACAGTGGCAAAAAATCTGAAACCCTAGCCAACTAACTTAGTAATTTACAATGTTATATTAAAGGGTGTATAATAGTTATCATATTAAAAGAATAACTACTTATTGGCCAATGGGACTCTCAACAGCAAGAAGCTTAGTGTTTGTGAATTTCACATCATAGACTTTTATCAGCAGGAAAAATGTTAATGCCTATCACCTCAAGGCATTAAAACCTCTTTGTGCCTTAAGAGCGTTTTTCACCTTTGACTATCCTGCATAAACTATATGTCACCTAAACTGCTGGAAGAGTAATTAAACACTTACAATAGTGATCATATGATCAATCTGCACTTTACAGCAACCTCAAGGTCGTTGATGAAGTTATACCAACAACACAATCATACATTTGATATAACACCAACAAGAAGCCAAAATGCATTACATCTTATTCTCAAAGAGTATGTCGTAAACCCTGTTTGGGCTTACAAACCCTGTCACGATTCGGAGAATCCAAATAGAGGTCTAATTCCCACTTCATCCCTTCCTTTCATGAGAAAAATGAATTGCATAAAACACCAAATAGTTCCAACCAGCACGAATAATACGCACACAATTAGCCATACCACCGTGAAAAAAACATTTTAAAAATAATTCTAAAAACAGAAGCCAAGTAAACTTGTAGCTGAAAAGCAACAACTACACATTACAAACTGAGAGAAAAATACCAATCCAGCATAAAAGAATAAAATCAAATCACGAACGCGAACTTATGAGCACTAATGTAATGGAAACCATTCGCTAGGAAAACTGATCCAACGCTGAATTGAAATAAATAAAACGAAATTCACAAAAATAGATTGCTGAAAACACAAAGGAAAGAGAAATTACCGGCCATCCCGCGTCTCGAAATCTCGTTCTCTGTCTCTATCTCTCTCAGAACGACTCCTACTCCTTCTGGATCTCTCTTTCTCGTCTCGCTCTCTCTCTCGCTCCCTGTCCCTTCTCTCGCGTTCCTTTTCCCTGTCTCTCCTATCCCTGTCTTTGTCCCTCCTCTCTCTATCCTTATCCCTCTCTTTGTCTCTGCTACTCCTCTCACCGTCTCTCTCCCTCTCACTTCGGTGACGGGCAGAGGAACGGTCGCGCTCGCGTTCTCTATCTCTGTCACGATCTCTCTTGGAACCGTTCTCGTCGTCGCCCTTGGACCTCTTGCTCCTCCTTTCGTCGGCGTCGAGATCCTCGTCAACGTCGTGCTTCCGGTAACTCCTCTCGCTCTTGTCGTTGTTATCCTTCTTCTTCTTAGAGGAATCTCTGTCTTCCTGTTGCTCTTCCACTGTCTTCTCCAGGTATTCATACTCGTCGAAGTCCATTTGTGTGTTCTGTGTAACGTTGTTGAGCTAGACTCTCAATTTCTAGGGTTTTAGGGTTTTTTTTACTGCCTCCACAATGCAGAGAGGAGCAGGGGTTCGGTTGGTTCCTCCGGTATGCGTATTCTAGAAGCTTTAACTCTTACCCAAAATAAATTATTAATAATAAAAACAAAATAATATGGTTCAGCTTGTCTGCTTTAAAGGATATTTTTGCAAAAATAATAATTTAGTTTAAATATCCTAATTATTATACAGATAGTTTATGTCACGAATTTAATCGTTTAAACTAGTTGCAATAAGAAAAAAAAATGCTTACTTTTTTTACTCATCTATAAAATATATAAAGTCATGTATTTTTTATAAGTTTTAATAGTTTTTTATATCCGTATATTTCACTTGAATATATAATTTCAATCAAATTTTATTTAATTTTCTCAAAACATTTTTTTTGGATCCATAACAAATAATATTTTTCTGAAAGCAGAGTTATTGGATCTCTAGCATTAAGTGGAGGGTCAAAAGTGGACAAAAAGAAACTAGTTTTAGGTGCAGAACTAATTACAAACTTGTAATTTATGACTAGATTAGTTAAAACTGAATAATATATAACAATAAAGAATTTTTAGTTTGTAACTGAATAATCAAATTATAATTAATAAAATTAATTATACAATTAACTGAAATGGTTAAAATATATTAAAATAATTTTATGTGAGTATGAATTATTTAGAAGACTAATAATAACAAAGTTTATTGAAACTAACTTCTAACTGAATGTTACTTTAGAATTGTTTCTCGTAAGTTTTTTTTTTATAGCCTTCTTCTCTTTCTTTTTTTTTTTCCCCTCATAAATGGGGCTCAAAGGCCCAGACAACCCTTGCCTTCTTTTGCTATTTGATTATCAAATAGTTTAATTAACTTGTTAATTAAAAATTACATTATAAATAAAAATATTCAGAGTACCAAATACACTTTTAATAAAATGCAATATAGAGGTGGAGTTATTATTGTATACACCGTATTATAGAGATAAAGGGAGATCATTTTTAATAAAATAAATTAGAAGTTATGAGTTTATATTCTTTATTTTTGAAGTTTGTTGAAAATTATAGATTTATATTTATACTAAAACCGTTGTAACTGTATAAATAATTTATAAAATTAAAAATTATTTAACAAATTAGTTGTATAAAATGGCAGATAGTATTAAGTTTAGACATTATTTATTTTATTTATTTGCTACCAATGAAACTATGTATTTTAATATAAAATACATTCAAATAAAATAAGTAAAGAAGCAAATGAAAAAAAAATAGCAATATCATGGTGAAGGTAAAAAAAAAAACATTTATACGTGTGATTTTTATTATGAAATATATAAATTGTCATTTTAAAAAATGAATAGCTTGTTGTAACTTAAGACTTGGTTATACAAAATTAAAAAATATATATAATATTTGAAATTTAACTTTTTAAAGGTTATGTAAAAAACGTTTATGTTTGTTTAAGGTAACTTTTAACTTATTCAATAACTTGTAGTTTATTAATTTAGTCAACAAGCTTGTAAAATAATTTGTAACTTTCAAAAGACTAACTATTAATATTTCTACTATATTCTTATCCTTAATTAAAAAAATAGATCTTATTTATCATACAATTAAAATATATACATTAATCTTATTTAATTTTTTATTTTTTTACCTTCACAATAGTTATTTTTTTTAATTTGCTCTCTTATTTATTCTATTAAAATATATTATATATTTTTAAAATTATAACTTAAAATATTAAATGTTCAAATATATACGAGAAAAAATATTTGTATATAAACATTTAATTAATTAATCATTTGACAATAAACAACTATAATAAATTAAATATAATTTTAATATTATATCAATATAAATAAATATAATTTATATATTATTTTAAGTTATTTAATACAAATAAGTTATATAATAGTTATGAAATCATTTTAGTTTTATTAAATACTTTGTCCAATTAAAAGTTACAGGCTTGCACTTTTCACAAAACATAACTGAATGCTGTAAACTTATGACTTCTGATTTAGATGAGTTTATTTTTAATTTGCTAACTAATACATTAAAGATATTGAAAAATAAATGATAAATATTTTGTTTCTATTAAAACACATTACCATGCATTAAAAATACATAAAAGTGAGTATATTTTTATGTTTTTTTTAATATTTTTTCAATAATAAGTACTTATAACACTTTCTTGAATAAAATTCCTCTACTTCAATGGTCTGTAATAAAATCTCCAAGTGTTTGCTATAAAGGAATATTGCATTTAAATGGAACGATTTTTATTATCAAGATTATAATCTCATACCAATTAAACCAATTGATAACGCTATTTATTATCATAATATTTTTCTTTGTGATATGAAATCGGCAAAGGAGGGAAAAAATATTGCGAGTGTTTATCTCAATTTTTTTTTAAGTTTTATTTGGAAAATAATTTAGAGCATACATAGATAACTGTATCTGCAATGCTATGCGAACATTAATTTTAACGTGAATCTCGAGATTAAAAATGTAAATTAAAAAATACACGCGTAGTAGTAAGAATTTGTCGTGTTTACTGCAAATTTAACAATTTTTTTTTATAAATATTGTTGACTTTCAAAAAGTAGTGTTGTTACATATTTTTTATTATCATGGTTATAGATGAATATGTTGCATTTCCATAAAAAAAAAAGAATGGACAAAATATTATTTTAATAAAACAAAAAGAATACATCATCAGTAATATTATTTTCACTATATTTTCCACTCTCATCCAAATATATATATATTTTTATTTTATAAACTAATTTATTTTAGAAGAGAGTTTTTTTAGCTATGAATGTATATCAAATGCGATCTGAATTATCATGGATGAATCGAACGGTCCTCACTTAAACAGATCAAAACGGCGCGAAGAGAAGTACGATCACACGAAGCTGTATGAAAGCACCAAAACGAGATCACATGGGCGCCTTCTACTTGATTTTAAAGGAGAACGTGGTCCCGCACTACCGCAACCCTCGCTCAAAGGTGGATACAATTCAAGCTCCTGCTTCAACCTTTTCAAATCAAGTTGCAAATACCAAATATAATCACGCTCTCGCGGGAAATTTTCGAATTACTCACATTTGCGAGGGAACCCTCATCATTAGGCCGGCACACACTATAATATCTCAAAGCCCACACTCACTATAAATACACATTCGCGCCTGCGCTAAAACTGTTCGTAGAAATTCTTCACTGAGATTCACACACAAAAACAATGTATGTGGTGAAGAGAGATGGGAGGCAAGAGGCCGTTCATTTTGATAAAATAACGGCGCGCCTTAAGAAGCTAAGTTACGGGTTAAGCACCGAACACTGTGACCCCGTTTTGGTGGCTCAGAAAGTGTGTGCTGGCGTTTACAAAGGCGTCACCACGAGCCAACTTGATGAATTGGCCGCTGAAACCGCTGCAGCCATGACAGCGAACCACCCTGACTATGCGTCTGTTAGTTTTTTTTTTTCTTCTTCTAGTGGTCTTTTTGAGGTTCTTATGGATCGAAATTAAACGCTGATTTGTTTTGCGTTTGGTGTAGTTGGCTGCCAGGATTGCCGTTTCTAATTTGCACAAGAACACGAAGAAGTCGTTTTCCGAGACGTAAGTGTGATGGAGGATAGTGTTTGTGGTTTGTTTGTTGAGGTGATTTTGTGTTTACTGTGGTTGACTTGTGGTCATTTCAGGATTAAAATTATGTACAATCACTTTAACGAGAGATCTGGCATGAAGGCTCCTTTGATTGCTGATGATGTCTATGAAATTATCATCACGGTATTTGTTATAGTTGCTATTTCATATTCGGTGTGTTTTTTAGTTTATGTTCTCTTGGCTTAATTGGTTAAGCGTGGTCTCTGTTTGTGAATGTCTCTTATGCATAGTGGATCTGTTGTTATTTAGGACTTTGAATGCTTTTAGTATAGTTATTGATTATTGACTATTAAACTGTGCGTCTGATATGATTTTCTTGGTTTATGGTGTAAGATGCTTTTAGTATTGTTGTTCTGTTTGGTGTGAAGTGAATTTAACTTTTTATCATTTCCTGTTTTGTTTTAGAATGTTGCTCGTTTGGACAGTGAGATAATCTATGATAGGGACTTTGACTATGATTACTTTGGCTTCAAAACCCTTGAGAGGTCCTATCTCTTGAAAGTTCAAGGGAAGGTTGTGGAAAGACCTCAGCACATGTTGATGAGGGTTGCTGTTGGAATTCATAAGGATGACATAGATTCTGCTGTAAAAACTTACCACATGATGTCTCAGCGATGGTTCACACATGCATCTCCAACTCTTTTCAATGCAGGAACTCCTAGGCCTCAAGTATGGTTTCTGTTAATGCTTCTTCCCTCCTTGTTTGTTTCTTTTTGTGAGCCTGTGAAGTGATTAATGATTTTTGACATTAATGTCTTTAAGATTAATTTATAGTAATACTCTGTCGAAGAGTGGTAAACCATGACTCATTTGATTGGATCTGTTTATGTGATGTGGCAGTTGAGTAGTTGCTTCCTTGTGTGCATGAAAGATGACAGCATAGAGGGAATTTATGATACTTTGAAGGAGTGTGCTGTCATCAGCAAATCAGCAGGAGGAATTGGTGTTTCTGTTCACAACATTCGTGCCATGGGCAGTTACATCCGTGGAACAAATGGGACATCAAATGGCATTGTTCCAATGCTGCGTGTGTTCAACGATACTGCTCGCTATGTTGATCAAGGAGGAGGCAAGAGGAAAGGTTAATTGTTTGTACCTAATTGGTAATTTCTATATTTTAATGAATATTTGTCAATTCCTTTACTTACACTTCTTATGTGCTTTTGGTAGGTGCATTTGCTGTGTACTTGGAGCCATGGCATGCCGATATATTTGAATTCTTGGATTTAAGAAAAAATCATGGAAAGGTATGATTGATGGGCTTTAAAAAGAAATAGCTTTTTTGTTTCCCATTACTTAGTTATGACCCTAGTTCTTAGTTTATGATAATTGAAGAAAAATTCTATTTTGTTGACACAAGTATGCGGTCATGTTATTTATGCAGGAAGAACATCGTGCTCGCGATTTGTTTTATGCTCTTTGGGTTCCTGATCTCTTTATGGAAAGAGTTCAGAGTAATGGGCAATGGTCTTTGTTTTGCCCCAATGAAGCACCGGGTTTGGCTGATTGTTGGGGTGAAGAATTTGAGAAACTGTACAATCAGTATGAAAGAGATGTAAGTCTGGTCTACATATGTAGTGTTGTTTTGCATGTTAATGTGCCTTTTCCTGATTACTCCCTTGTTTTTCAACCAAATTCATGTGTGCCCAGGGAAAAGCAAAGAAGGTTGTTCAGGCTCAGAATCTCTGGTTTGAAATTTTGAAGTCCCAAATAGAAACTGGAACCCCTTATATGCTTTTTAAGGTGGTTCACAAAGACTTGTTTGACTTTCTTCAAGTTTCTTTTTCAATACATTTTGTATTTATTATTTTGCATTGAAAACTTTTCACTTTCTTTATTGTAGGACACTTGCAATAGGAAAAGCAATCAACAGAATCTGGGCACAATTAAGTCATCAAACTTGTGCACTGAGATAATTGAATATACAAGTCCTACAGAAACAGCTGTGTGCAACCTAGCATCAATTGCACTACCACGATATGTGAGAGAGAAGGTAAGACATCTCAGGCATGCTTCATGTCTTAGGTCCACATTTATTTGATTTCTAGGTGGCTATGCTAACTTGTTCTTCCTGATTTGGAATGTTTACCTGCTTATTATAGGGTGTGCCCATGGAATCTCATCCATCTAAGCTTGTTGGGAGCAGAGGCTCAAAAAACAGATATTTTGACTTTGACAAACTGGGAGAGGTACAATTTCTAGATACTCTTTAACTTCATAGAATAGTGGATGTTCTTAATGTGTAGCCTCGATTGGCAATTTGGCATTATAATTATATGACTAGTGTTGTGATGGTCCTGTGTTTTTTTTTTTTTTTGTGACAATTGTAGGTTACAGCAATGGTGACAACTAACCTTAATAAAATAATTGATGTTAATTACTATCCAGTTGATAATGCTAAAAGGTCAAACTTCCGACACAGACCCATAGGTATTGGAGTTCAGGGTCTTGCTGATACCTTCATACTACTTGGCATGGCATTTGATTCACCAGAGGTAAATAATGTTTGTTAGACTGTTAATTTATCTACTCTGTAAGGTAGATGTTCTTTGATTTGATGGTTTACATGGATGAGATGCAGGCTCAACAGTTAAACAAGGATATATTTGAGACTATATACTATCATGCTCTGAAAACTTCTTCTGAATTGGCTGCAAAAGAAGGTCCCTATGAAACATATAGTGGTAGTCCTATAAGCAAGGTAATGTGAGAGGCAATTTTACCTACCATTCTTTTTTCCTTTTAATGTCTTGAGCTACTTTCATGTAAAATTTTGAAGTTATAAAAATCTAATTTCTATATAATGTGGTTGAACACAGATGCACATATATATTCAACTTAATTTTTAAGGCTTAAAGTTAGGAATGCAAACATCTAAAATGTTTGTAATTGTATGTACTGGCTTAGACAATTTTTGTATTGTGCAGGGAATTCTTCAACCAGACATGTGGGGTGTGATGCCTTCAAGTCGTTGGAATTGGAATGCACTTCGGGAGACAATATCAAAGTTGGGTGTGAGAAATTCACTTCTTATTGCCCCCATGCCTACTGCATCTACTAGTCAGATTCTTGGCAATAATGAGTGTTTTGAGCCATATACTTCTAATATCTACAGTCGCAGGGTTCTAAGGTGTTTTGCCATCCCATGTTATTTTGTCTTGGTATCCAATATGTCTTGCGTGTTAACTGTTTGTCTTTCAGTGGAGAATTTGTTGTAGTGAACAAGCATCTGCTTCATGACTTGACTGAAATGGGACTGTGGTCACCTACAGTCAAGAATAAGATTATCTATGAGGATGGTTCAGTTCAGAAAATCCCAGAAATACCTGATGAGCTGAAAATCATATACAAGTATGAGTTTTGTGATTTTGTAACTTACCCAAACTTGGCTCTTACATATCTATTCTAACTCTTTTTGAAATTGTCAGGACGGTATGGGAGATAAAGCAAAAGACTTTGGTTGATATGGCTGTTGATCGAGGATGCTACATAGATCAGAGTCAAAGCTTAAATATTCACATGGATCAACCCAACTTTGGAAAGTTGACTTCCTTGCATTTCTATGCATGGTCAAAGGTATCAATTTTTTCACTGGGGCAAGTTAAATCAGTTATTGTCAATGGATTATTTTGTGTTTTGTTTGCTTTCACAATTGGATCTTATTGGTGATATGAATTTTAGAGAGGTAAACATTCAAAAGATATAAATCTACACACTGCCTGGGTTTATTTCTTTTGCATTGGTCTTTCTGATTTCTGGATACACCACTAAATTAACTTTAAATGTTAGATATGGAAACTTTGTCTCGTGTTGTGGTGAATATTAGCGAATTGTTTGCTGATTGATGTTTATTGCTTTCTGTTTTGTCGTGAAAGGGTTTGAAGACTGGGATGTATTATCTGCGATCACGTGCTGCAGCTGATGCTATCAAGTTTACTGTTGATACCTCTGTCCTCAAGGTAATGAGAATTCAATGTAATAATCTTCCTTATTCATGTAATTTACATATTTTGATATTAAATATTTTTCTACGAATGTAGGAAACATCAGAGGTGGAGGAGGAGGATGATAATAGCAAGATGGCACAGATGGTGTGCTCTTTAACGAACCGAGAAGAGTGTTTGGCTTGTGGAAGTTGAAAGTATTCCAAATTATAATTTCATTTTCACGGATTAGTGTAGGGCCTAAAAAAACCCTCACGTGCAAACATAACAATTTATTTTAGAAGGCACTGCTGGTGTCATAAGAGTAGGATTCAATTCATACATGATAATCTTAAGCATTCTTAATTATATCTAGAGTTTTGTATAGTATTTATGGTGTTAATTTCGTTTGTATGTGCCCGTTCTAGTATTATAAGTTAAGTTGATGAAAATATTGAGATGTAACCAAGTGAGCTGTCAAGTCAGTTGCTTTGTTTCCTTTATTTAATTCGAATTTGGAACATCTAGCCCTTGGCGAAGGACGGGAACCTAGTAAATTAAATTGATAATGTGGAAAGGAAATCTATGTTGGGTAAAAAGGAAGAGAACATGGTCTTAAGTTAAATGGGACAATATTAATTGACATGTGTTAAGTTGGTAAATTTATACATTTATTTATCTTTTATAAATATTAAATTTTATTAATTTAATTACTAGTTCTCATGAAATAAATCCGATTTGTAAGTTTATATAATTTTAAATTTTGATTGATTTTATTATGTTATTTTCTTTTAAGGTAAAATATAAGTGATTTTTTTATTGTTAGAATTATATATTTATAAATTTGTAATTTAATAAAATAAAATTTAACACACAAAATTCTCAAGTAAATGTTATGCTTTAATAGATAAACTAGTAGATTTTAATATATTTTAAAAATATTATAGGTGTAAAGTTTTTAAATTCAACATTTAAACATTACTTTATTCAACAGAGAGAAGGTATACAAAAGATATTTTATTTGATTTACAAGAATAAAGGAAGAGAGAAAATCAATGAATTTATTATAATATATAAGTTACGAAACTAAAGATGTATTTTATTTTAATTAGTTTAAAAGGTTATCTCCCCTTCAAATTTCTAATTGCATTTTAATAGTTTAAAACAAATCTAGCAAATTTTATTGCATTTGATTCTATCGTGATTGAAACCCCCTTCCAACACTCATAAGAAATTTAAACTGGTTGTTAGAATAAAGATCAATGTGGTACTATCAAGAGAAACTCAAGACTTAGTTTTGTTTTATTTTGACCTATCTTGCATATTTCTTTTTTCTTTTTACAGTTTAATTAAGCATAATCTTTATCATTTTAAAGTATTTTTAGTTTATACTTAACTTCATTTTTTGTATGCATAAAAGTAATTTTTAGTTAAATAGCTAAAAATTAATTTCTTTTAAGGGACTCATTTAATTATAAACTATACCAGTCGTTGTTAATAAAATCATATATGTTATATTCGAATTTTTATATTTTATTCTCATGAAATCTCATCACATTCCTTTTTCTTATGAAATAAAATATTTTTTTTCAATGATATATGACTCATCGTGACCTTTCACATTGAATAAAAAAATTAATATTAACTTTTAAATTAATCCTTTAATTAGCTGAGATGTTTTTCTTTTCTTAATTTTTTAATTAATACTTTAATTTTTTTCAATCAACATTAAAATAACAATATATTTATAAACAATTTTTACAATATAAATTTATTAGTTTTTTTATATTTTAAAATCAAAAAATTAAATTTTTTACTTTTCATTAATTTATATTTTATTAATTAAATTTTTATATATTGACAAAACACTCATGCACTGCACTGAATATTTATTAGTTTAACTTATGCCTATAAATACACCGTAAAGCAAGGGATTGTCATTAGTACGAATAATATCAAAATTAGTGTCTACATCGAAAAACAAAAGTTGTGTCGAGAAACACATTATCACTCACTAAATGAAATGTAACTAAACCAAACTGTATGATAACGTTTTGCAGAATTCTAAAGCAAACGTCAAACCGCAAGAAATTAAAAAGATAAATAAAAATATTTAATCTCTTACAAAAGAAAAAGGCCTTTTCTAATAATTTAAAAATATTTTATTCCATAATTTCAAAGGACATATTTTAATGAAATCGTTATTTTATATTTTTTTAAAAAAATAAAAATTATAAAAAATTATATGATAAAATTTTTAAAAAATTATATAATCGAATGTTTTAAAATAGCACAATGATATTTAAAATAATATTATAAAGATTTATTTTTTCAATGTGTAAAACGTGAAAACGGAACTTGTCAATTTATGGCCGGCAGCACTTATCCTTTGTAAGTTTGGAAAATTTGAGGTAACCTCCATCATTTTCCCGTACTCCCTCTCTTACTCACAAAATATAAGTTGAAATACATCTCTTTCAATTAATAACTTTTTATAAAATACAAAATTAATAAATTTACTTATTAAATTATTTTATATTATTTTTATAGTTATATATTAATATTTAATATTATTTTTATAGTTATATATTAATATTTAGGTAATTTGAATATTTATAAGTATATTATTTAAATTTAATATTTTTATATTTTAAAAATATATTATTATAAAAATAAAATAATATATTTATTAATTTTATTTTATATAAAACTTTGTAAAATTAATCTATTTAGTAAAAAATAAGTAAATTAATATTATATTTTATAAAAATATTAAATAATTTAAGTATTTAAATTGGTGTCAAATGTCAACAAATATGGCTTAAATACTAGCCTTTAATTGTTATAAAATATTTTTAACATATACTAAAGTCTAAGTTGAGAGCCTCAAACCAACCAGTGAACATGAAAAGTGAAAGAAAATTTCCTCCTCTTTTCCTTGATCGAATTCCATCAACTTTTATCCATAAGTTGGAAATATTTTCAATCGTTTAACGTAATAACAATTACGAAATAAAAAAAATGATAGAACATACTTATTTATAATATCATTGAATCATAAAATTTAATATTAATAAAATTTATTAATTCTAAAATTATGTCTATTATATATTCGAATTAATTTTAATAGTAACACTATTTTTTTCAACACAATACATTAAAATAAAATTCATAAAAAAAAGGCAAGACACAATTGGAAAATCACTTTTGCAATATAAATGAAAGCACACAAGCTTGTCCAAGTGACATGTGAAATGTTAATTTTTTCTCCTTTCTAATTTCTTTACCCTACCAAACGATTAAAATGCAATATTTCTCCCCTCTAAACTACCCTTAATTCTTTTATTTTTAATATATTCAATCCAAAAAAAGCCATTTTTGCATAATTTTTCATTCATATATATTTTTAGAAGTTGTCTTGATATTTATTTACATTGAAATTTTTGATCTTTCGTTTTCATACTTTTATTATGTGGGTGGTAGAAAAAGTAATATTGGAATAATTATTCACTCATTAGGCATTTCTCATAGTCAAATTAATTTGTAGGAAGTACTATTAGGCTTTTAGACACACAAAGGGACAGGCCCAGTTTTATCCATTAGTGATCAATACCGCGTGGATGTGAATCTATCATTGACCCAAAAAGCTAGCGTTGACTCAAAAAGATCTAGATTGGAACTTGGTATAGCATATAAAAATGAAATTATTAAAATACTAATTTAAGTGGCACTTGAACTATCTTGTATCACTATTTATCTACATCCCAATTTGAAAAACTAAATTTGATCCTAATTGGGCTATTCCACTTCAAGTCAACAAATTTATAACAATAGACTATCATTTAATTAATTTTGAAATCATCTTTCCCCCCTTCCATTACACTCATCACTAATTAAGTTGAGATTTATTTAAAACTTGTTAAATGAGACGTGTTTTAGTTTCTATCTATTTAGTGTTACTCTTAATTCAATAAAAATTTTATATAATTTTTAACTAATTACTAGTATATTAATTTTTTTTAGGTTACAACCATCTCTAATTGAATATATATTAAATATCTTATCTATTTGAAGCGAGTGAAGTAAAATTATGGCGGATGATAAATTCTCTCCAATTTATTATCTAATATCATTTAAATTTTTAAGGGCTTATATTTTAGACGCTTGATCAAAATGCGTTTAGCCCTATAACAAGTGTAGGAAACAGTGTGTTGCAAGCTAGTGTTTCTTAGAAAAACAAATTGGATAAGCTTTACACACTTATTTGTTTTTATGGAAGATATCCGTTAAGTTAAACGATGCAATTTGTGAAGAATACCCATTGATAATAGATACTAATAAATGAAACAAATTTGGCAATTTACTGTTTCCAATTTTTAACAAAGAATAACGTAAATCGTGGTCCCTCGTTTGGTGTTGGATAACTCCAAAAAATAAGATAAGTTCGATTTGAACACTCCTATGTGCAAGTTCAATTGCACCTTTTTTTTTTTTCCCTATTCGAGGTAACCTAATTAAAATCATTATGTTTAATTAATGGATGTGTACTGGTAATAAGACATGTTCATCATAAGAGATGGATAACAACAAATTGATGAACAAATGAAATTCTGCGGATGCAACTTGCCAATTTGACATCAAATATCTGAATTTGAATGGAATAACCAATTAACCATAGTGGAAGCATGCAACTTGCAGATTCATCCAACCATTGTTGAATCAAGCTTAATGCCTCCAAAATTGTATACATACTACAGAGAATAACGTGACCAAACATACTTATCCGTGTGGGATTTTCAATTCAAGTCGGTTATTAATTTAATTTAGCTAATAATTAAAATATATAAGTTCGATTCCATGTATAAAACATATTAAAATACAGTATTTTGATGTCGGCTCCTAACTGTTCTGACCTTTTTCTTAGCACCGACTTGATCGAAAAGGTCAAGTTGGTTCTCTCCACACAAACGCCACCGAATTTCAGCATTCACACTTCAGCACTTTTGACCCATCAGTATTATTAATCAATCCTTTAGATCCATGCTATGTTTGCTACATCAACGTTGGGATCATAGTTTTGTGAAACATGTTATAGAAGGGCATGCAAAGAGAACTAAGTAGTCAAATATTTCTAAGTGGTTATACATTTATTACTGTTGCATTTATTTTCAGATAGTTCGTGTTCAAGTTCTTAAGTCGAACAGCGACGACTATTCATGGCGGCTATAATCATTTTGAACTCTTCCATCGTGCGTGTGTGAAAAAGGTTCATTCTTGGGTGTTTATTAAAGTGGGTTTTGAAGGGTCTGCATGCAGCTAACAAGTGCTGAAGTTAGGGCCATGGTGGGTTGAATTATATGTGTATGTCAAAGGTGGCGAATCATAGAGAAAAGGAAAACGAGGTTGACTTTGATGAAGAGAACTATCACACGTTGTCAATGCCAATGATGTTTCAAGGTCTGAATAGAGAGATGGAGATGTCAGCCATGATCTCGGCTTTGACCCATGTTGTACGTGGAGAGGAACATGGCACGGTTCTTCATCAGAATATGGACCATAGTTCAATTGGTGAAGGTGGTGGTGGTGGTGCTTCTGTGACACCAAACTTGCCTTCTGTTTCAACTACACAATCTTCTCCTCCTTCATCTAATGGTGGCAGCTCTGCTCTCAAGAGAAGAAGAGCAAGTGATGCATCCCCTTCTATTCCCACAAGTAAGTAATCTGAATTTTTTAATGTGAATCATTAGGGAATGAAAATGAAGTGTTATTTTAATACGTGTGGCTGCTAATTTTTTGACGTAGCTAGAAAATAAGCATGAACTTATAAAGAACAAACAAAAATCAAGGTTAGGTAGGATCTTAAACAGTACAGACATCTTAATATAATATTAATTTTATGGTAAACAAATATAATCCACACTCATGTTTCTTTAATTTTATAATATTTGAAGTAATACAAGAAAATTTAGCCAAGGAACCTATTTCTTTTACTCTTGTTCTGTATTAGTGAATTTTAAACTGAGAAGTGGAAACAAAAACTTTTTTTTTTTTTAAGTTTAATTTAATTTTATGCAATCCAGGAGCAGAAAGTTCAAGCAACAAGACCAGCACAATAACAGCAAAAACAACAACAGAAACAAGCCAAATGGAAAATACAATGTATGAATACAGAACAGAGAACATGAGAGAGGAAGTGCAACCAAGTAGAAAATACAGAGGAGTGCGACAGAGGCCATGGGGGAAGTGGGCTGCAGAGATAAGAGACCCGTTCAAAGCAACAAGAGTGTGGTTAGGAACATTTGATACAGCTGAAGCAGCAGCTAGAGCATATGATCAAGCTTCATTGCGTTTCAGAGGCAACAAAGCAAAACTTAACTTCCCTGAAAATGTTAGGCTAAGACAACCTCAACTCAATCCACAACCAACCCATTTCACCATTTCCAATTCTAGGAGTACCCTTTTGTCCATTCCATCTAACACTGATCCAATAGTTCACACTGAACCTCTTCACACTTCTCAGGGTTCACGTGGCTCAAACAACTTTTATGAATATTCTATGCATGTTCCCATGAGCCTATATGATCAGATAACTATGCCATCTACTGTGGCTTCCCATCTTCAATCTTCATCGTCTTCATCAGCTTCATATTCTTCTTCTTCAACCATGACTTCTCCGCAGGCACCTTCTGTTTATCCTACACAGTTACCTGCATGGTCTTCTTCTGGTTATAGCTCTTCTCCCTCTGGATGATTTGCACTTGTACGACTAGTTTGTCAATCTTTTCATTATTTTTTTATGATGATGTTAGTTGAAATTGAATTATTATGCTTTTTTATTTTTTTAAACCCCTCTCGTTCATTTTCTGTAAATCTGATAAGATAATTTTTTTCTAAATTGAATTTGAAATTTTCTCGTTTAAATTTTGGAGAATTGTGAAAGCATTATGGTTAAAAAATTAATTTATATTCGAGAATAATTTTTTAAAGAGTTTTACTATTTAATTTTAAAAGTGTATGTGATAAACTGTTAGTTGATTTTAGTATTGGAAAATCAATCAATGAAAATTACACATTTTAATGTAATTCATAATTAAGATTAATTTGAACGCAACTCTTAATTATATTTAATAATTTAAAATTACTTTTGACAGAATTAATTTTATTCAACTGTCATGTCTTTAGTAGTTGAAATGATGGGATGAAGTTTTTTGAAATGAAAATAATAAATATATTTTTAAAAAGTTTATGAATCACATTTAAAAAAATAATTAAGCATACAATATAATCATTTTTAAAAATTTATTCGTAGTAGCTTCGTAATCAAATCTTTTACCAAAGAATTTAACTAAACGCATTCAATTATTCTACATTCCTATTTTATTGAGGTTGCTAATTGACTGCAAGAAATTGCTTCTGAACTACTTATATTTTGCGATCACAGCACGCTGCAACAAATTAGTACTAGTCTGGATTACAATTTGTAAATTTATTTTAAATATTTATTTATTTAAACTATAGGTTTCCTCGACAAGAGGGAATTATGCATATCACATTTCAATAGTTTAGTATTAGAATGGATTTTGCTTTGTCAACTGATTTTAAATGAATTTTTATATTTTTACTAGAGATAATCTTATTTGAGTTAAAAACATCCATAGTAACGTATAGTTGATTTTTTAAGATTTTTTTCCATACATAATGTTTGAACTCAAAATCTTATTCCAGGAGATCAAGTATATACCACTTGAACTAATCTTCACTGATATTTTTTTAAATGAATATGACCTAAAAGTGAATTTCAGTAGATAGATTTATGTTTGAAAAATATATTTGAAAAGTAATGTGAGACAATGAATGTTATTTAAATGATATTGACAAAAATTACTTTTAAATATATAATTACTATGCTAATAAGAATATGCTTCATATTTGATCTTGTTAAATTAGCATTACAACATTAAGATATTTTAGTCGTTTATACATGATTTTATTTAATGTAAAAGTAAGAAATCGTTGCTTTTATCTTAAAGAGACCAAAATAAAGTTTGAAACCCAAGGTTGATTTTCCTACTAAATTAAAGAGGGTTTGACGTTTCCTACGCTAAACGATATATACGTTTTTTTCCAAGATCACACTTGAGGTGTGAAAAGTAGATTTAAACGGTAACATTGAAGGATTGAATATTTTTTAGATTTTTAAAATCAATTGTCACAAATAAAATTAATTTCAAAGATACTAAATGTTACAAAAGCCATTTCATAAACAAATGATTTTGGGAGGTGTTCTTGTTCATGTTTTCTCGGCTTGTTCAATGTTCAGTATAGTTTGGTTGGTTGGTTAGAGGTTTTCATTTAAACTCTTGATGGTGAACAACGTAAACAATTGTTTAAAAATGTTGTGCCGCCTTATGAAGTATGAACCACCCGAAAATAAATAAATAAAGGTTGAGCCCCACTTTGAAAATACACTGTGTCGTGACGTACCCCGCAGAAGCTCCAGGCGTGTTATAGCGGTCCAATAATTTGACAGAAACGTTCAGATGTTGAATATCATTTTATATCTTAACATGAGCAACGATAGCAATATAATTTTTAACGTATTTTTGTAATATTTTTTTAATGACTAAAATTCATTAAAAATTATAACAAAAAATGTGAACTGTACTATTTCTTATTTTTAAATTAATATTTTTTAATTTTATAATAAATTTTAGTTAATAATAAAAAATATCTTGACATTGCCCTGCTATGTAAGCAACATTTAGTTTAGTTAGACTTTATAACAAGGAAAATTGACAGCCTGAATGGAGAAAGGCTAGATTCGCCGAAAAGTTGTTTATTTAACAACCACATAGAAAAACACACTATCATACTTTTCATAAAAGTTTCTAGAGAAGAAACAAATGATGATACATTGAAGTGAGGTCCAAGAGACTTTCAATTTAAAGATGACTTGCGTCTTAGCAAAGTAATTTCAATTTATTGCTTTGAAGTTTACTTCAAGCGAGGAATTGAAGGCAAACTTACACCACACGATTACAATTAAATATTAACTCAATGACGTGCTAAACGCCAGGGAAAAGACGATGTTGTGCAAGCAAAAGTTACGATTTTTGAAGCAATAGAAATTGCTGTGTTCAAGACTAACAACCGAACGACTTAAATATACTTTCATCGTTTTACGTTTGTCTCAAATAACGGAGTAATTATGGTTTTTACCCATAAAATTTATCTAGATCCTTTTAATTTAATTAATTATTTAATCACTATAAAAATTACACAATTTGATCTTAAGAATATAATCCTTTTTTCCCAGAAACAATATATTAAGATACTATAAAGTATTAACTTTTGCTTGCTACACATTAATTAGTTAAAAGTGCTAAAAATAATAATTCGTAAAAAGTAAAAATTATATTTTAACAAAAAAATTTGTTAATACTAAATCCAAATTGTATAATTTTTATATACACTAAATACTTAATTTAACAAATCCTTTTCCATAAAATAATTACACCAGATCTATTTCAATAATCATCTTTAACCCCCTGCAGCACTCGAATCGTCGTCATTCACTACTAGAGTCAATGCACGATGGTAAAACCCCCCGAGTTCTCAACGTCATATAACCAATCGTCTCGCGACGACCATCAAGCCCACAAACTAAAAAGATCACTACAAGGTTCGAAGTTGCTTTGGGTACTTATAGATTGGCGAGTTTGGTAGGGAAATCGGAGGATAATTTTTCGTTTCTAAACCGATTAAATCATAAGATGTCTATAAAAATAAAGTGATGTTCTAGATACATAATATCTCATTAAAAGAAAATCTCAAATAAGGAAAATGTTAACTTAAAAATTTGCCTCTCCTTCTTTTCCCTCAAAGCTCCATCTGACGTGGCCTTGAGAGACTCCAACTTTATGTACTAAAATAATAGATGATTGCATGCACCTCGCAAATTAACATGGAAGGAAAATAACATGACACGTCCAATTGCACAAGAAAATGAAATAGCGAATAAAAGGTACAATAGAAAATTCAACCAGCCAAAAGAATATAAATGAGTAAGCACTCAATTTCTAGCCACTGCTACAATCAAGATCGTTTAGGACCCTGTCATAAATCAGTGGTAAGGTATGTACCAGTAGTATACAACAATGCTACTTCCAGTTCTAAGATGCATATATCCAGCTCTACCCTGAACGCATGAATGACAATATAAAATGAAAAAAGGATCATCGTTTAATGCAATTCCTCACCAACTCAGTCGGTAACATTTCAAAAGAACAATCCTGAAAAGGAAATTTCAGTACAATCACATCAATATTGAGATGCCCTTGCAATTGCCAGAAACAAGCATTATGATAAAATAGAAAATACAGATGTAAACACACATAATTTTACCGTTTTCCATAAACCAGACTTCAGTTCCCTTGTCTCCAATTCTCTCTTAAAACAATGGTAATAAGAAAATTTGAGAGGCAAGCTTTACCTATGACTGTAACTGCAGATATGGACCGACATTAAACCTTCAAAGCAGCTTTATGAACCATGGTTTCCTTGTGTATTTGATGACAACTCTTCTCCACAAGATCAAGCAGTTTCTCCAAGTTTGCTGCCCATGAGTTAAGAATATCATTGCTATCCTTTGCTATTTGGAAACAGACTATTCCCATTGGCCGATCAATCTTTGCCACCAGCGCCTTAGAAACAACCATATCTGAGAGATGCTTCTCAGCTTCCTGATTTATGTAAAAAGAAGTACTTAGGATCATCGCACTAAAAAAAAAATAACATTTTAAGAAGAAAATGAAATAAGTTCAGTTACAACATCCATATTAACATGCAGCTCCACAATAAACAATAAAAAGAAAAGTAAACCACTTGAGGTGGCAAGTGAACTACAGCAGCACACCAAAATAAACAGAACCCACCAAACCCCTAAATCATAGGTTTTTCTTTGAAACACCAAAATCCAGTGACAGACTAGGAAGTCTGCCCACGCACCATTTAAAAATGTTACCACAGTAACGCACTAACAGGCTTAAAAAAGCACACAACTTGAACTAGCATTACAAACCTGCACACTGAGACACAAAAGCTCCGCAAGTCTCTTCAATGTAATTCTTGCGTAGTATTTTGACACAACGAGAATATTCTGAAAGGTAACAAAGATACTCCATATTAATGCTCACATAAGAAGGGTGAAACAGTGCATATCTTGTGATACCAACCAACTAAATGGAAGGGATGATAAGAAAGAAATATATTGGCATCAGTTATTTACATGTTCAATTATTCTTTGCCTCAGATCTTCTGCTGCTTTTTCACCTAAAGATTTCCCAGAAGTCTTCTCATTCTCAAACACGTTCTTATATGTATCCCAAAGAGCTGTCCATTGGATAACTTCCATGGTGACCAGCTGTTTCAAAAGTAGCCTAGGCACACCAGTAACAGATACACAACATCACAAGGAGATCCTAAATAAAATATTTGAACACAACCAAGAAGATGTGGGGATAAAAATTAGGATGACATACTTGAAGTTTGGAATCTCAGATAGATTCTTATCCTCCAAGGTGGAATTGAGAAGGCTTGACTGCATTGGATCATGTGGGGATAGAACCAAGTACCAACATATTTTCCTCAGGATCTACATGTAAAGATGATATTCAGAAAAGCATATTATTATATAACAACGTAATCTCACTGTAGCAGAGAAAGCAAAAAGAGAAATAGGATAGATTACTGGAATCCACTTGGCAGGGTTTTCTTTGACAGATGGAATCTCATATATTGCCTTGTAGCAACGGCAAATTTCAAGATAATCATTATTATGGGAATAATACCTTAAAACATAAAC